GAGTCGGTCTGGTTTCCTTCAGAGAGAGGGTTGAACTTTAACTCCTGGCATCGTGCCTGCCCCCCTACAAAATTTATGGGTTAGGATGTGAATCCTTCCTTTCCAACATTCCAAGAGGGAAAAAGCAAAAGAGAGGCCATGAGGAAGCTGGTGAGGCCCTGGCCACAGGGCCGGCGAAGGGCTGAGCCAGTGCTGGGCTCCCGGGTGTCCCCTAGCTCTGCACTCACCCCCAGACAAGCATGGGTTCTTCAAACTTAATTAAAAACAGGATGTCCCTGCTGGGCCTCTCCTTGATGTTGCTAAAAATAAAGCAGGGAAATAGCCTGGCCTCTTCTGGTTTAATCCCATTAAATTTGGGGGTGGGGTGGGGGTGGGGTGGAATCGGAGCTAATAAAAGACATGATTTGTTTCAGATTGCTGTCTGGAGTTGTCTCCCCCTCCCTGCGCTGTGGAGTCCTAGATTCTGAAGTTCTAATGCAATCAGCTCTGGGCTGTTGATGCCGTGGGAAGGCAGCAAAGGGACAGACAACTCCCTAAATGTGATTCTGCTGGGCTGTCATCCACTGACTCACGCTGGGGACCACTGGGACTCATCACCTCTGCTCTTTGCTCACTGCTGTGGTACCACCCACGTCATAGGCCTGGTTTTGTGTAATTCCTATCTGTGAGCTGATGCACATTTAAAAACAAAAAACACCTAGTTTGAGGGCTGTGAAAGCCATCTGCAACGTGAGCCTCTTAAAGGAGCGTCCCTTACTCCCCAACCCCACAGGGTACTCAGACACTAGCCTCTTGCTCCATTCCCGTCCCGTTTGCAAATGTATTCATGTAAGGGCACCCTAGCTTTCTTTGTTTTTGTTTTGCTTTGTATTAACCTGTCTTTATTTCTCTGTCCCAACCCCACTCCTTTTGCCTAATAGCGAAAGACTAAAACTCTTGTAGGCTTTCTGCTGAATATGAGAGTCTCATTTTCTAATACAAATTCATTTGTTTCCTTGGTCTTTCATTCATTTGCTCAACCCAGAGTTTTAGGAGATGATCTCTAGATTATTACATAGTAGACTCCCCATCAGAATCCAATGTCGATAATTGACGAGTTCCAACTCTTTGAGGCTTGGAGCTACAAGGAATGCCTCAGACGAGTGGGTTTTACTTGCCACCATGGGACCCAGGTGAGGACTTGCATCACCATTATTAAGGCATGACTAGCCTCACTATACCCATCTAAATGGTGCTCCTAAAAGGCGAGTGCTTTTGGTCTTCAACATGGTGTCTCCCAAGCCCTGAGCCAGAGGATTGGTGAGATATAAAATAAGGAAGAGCATGTTAGTCTTGTTGATAATTGAGTCCCCATCACCTAGCACATAGTAGATACTCAATAAATAATTGTTAAATTATGAATAATCATTTTTTAATTCTCTCTACACGGTTGCCTGCAAATAAGGGAACAGGTGAATTTGGGAAGTAGGTGTAGATATACATTTCAGATGTATTAGCAGTTCCATCTTTCTGTTGCTCATTGGAGAAATACAAATACCTTAACATGGTCTGTGAGGCCCCCAAGTCTGCCTCTAACTGCTCTGGAGCCTCACCTGGTCCCACATTCTCCTGCATGCTCTCAGCCTCCTTCCCACTCTCCCACCTGGGCTGTGTTTCTCTCCGTCTTTACCCCCTCTAAGCTCTAGGTGTTCTTCGTTCCTTTGCTCAGTCACCATCCCTGTGGGCAGTCTACCCAATCTGTCCTGACAAGGTCCAATTTCCCCAATATATTATATCCAAAAACCATGCATCTTCCTTTTCAGCACTGCTCAGAACAAAGGTTTGACACCCATGCCTTTGATTACTTTAGTAATGTTGGTCTGTCTTATTTGACAGTAAACCCATGGCAAGGATGGGGTAGATGATAAGGCCTGGTATATCATAGTTGATCAATAAATATTTGGGCCCTGGCCAGTTTGGCTCAGTAGTTAGCATGACAGCCCGCGATCCAAAAAATTGTGGGTTCAATTCTGGTCAAGGGCATGTACCTTGGTTGCGGTTCTGTCCCCGGCCCTGGTTGGGGTCGCGCGGGAGGCATCCAGTCAATGTGTCTCTCTCACATGGATGTTTTTTCTCTCTCTCTCCCTCCCTCCCACTCTCTCTGAAGTTAAATGGGAAAATATCCTTGGGTGAGGATTTAAAAAAAAAATTTGGTACATGACGGAGTGAATGGATGAATGAGAACAGGTGGGAGAGCAAACGAAGAGCAGGCGTTTTCCTACCTGGGGTCTGTGGGTGGGGTCCGTAGGCGGGTCCGAACCCATGAGCCCCGACGTCTGCAGCAGCCAGCGTGTGTCCAGGAGCGTGGTTCCTAAGGTGAGAGCCATCACTTCTGACAGACGAAGAATTTTTAAGGGGTTTTACATGCATATATTTACTTATACGAAGAAAAGAGGGTAGAAAAATGAGGGAAAAAAAAGTATTAAAGGATAAAGGGGAACTTTATAATGAGAAGCATAATAGAAGAAAATGATGGAGGAGAAAGAGACTGAAGAAGGTGAAGCAATGGGGAACGATTATTCCTGAATGAATCCTGTAAACTTAGGGAGCCCAAGCCTGTGCAAGAACCGTCAGTAACTACAGATTGCCGCCCTCGCATCCAAAAGGAAGGTGTCCTCAGTAACTACAGCTCGCGGAGTGGAAGGACATGATCCCGGAGAGGAGCGAAGATCACGCATAGCAGTGGAAGGACAGAGGACCACGGAGGAAGGCTACGTCTCAATCTGCCCGTAGCGCGTGGGTAGGACCTCAAGGCAGGGGAGGGGCCGGTGAAAGCTCAGAAGAGAGAAGAGTGTGACCACAGCTGATCCAACACCCACGCAGAGCCGCTGAGTTGGGAGATGCCTCCTTTGGCCGGTTACAGACACAAAGCAGGTGGCACCTAGAAGTACCAAGTGAGGTGACCTTACTGAGGCCAGGGCAGGCTCGGGAAAGGAACGACGCACCCCTGAAAGTTGAGGACATGTAACACAATATCCTTAAGACTTCTGGCGAAAAGTAAAGTTCCGGTTTGCCCGTCGGGGCCCCTCCCACATCACCTCTAAAGAGGCTGCACTTTCATTATGTGGCGCAATGCTGGTTTCTAGATGCTGTTCGTTGCTGTTTCAAGATTTCTGGGCTTGTGAATTTACAATACGTTTCAAGTATGTAAATTTGAAATTCCTGTGAGGTGTGTATGTGTGTGCATGTATGCGCGTGTGTGTGCGTTTTCGTCCGTTGGTGCCACCGATTCCCTATAGACTAGGTCAGGCGTTACAGAAAAGCCTCCGTGTAGGAGAAAGAAAGCTGAGGGGAGGGAGCTAGGCCTCCCGACATCGCTGGTATGGAAAGACCTCTGCTTTCTACTCCTCTTACCAAGTATTTACCTGGCCTGTGACATCTCAGCATCTCTTTTTCCCATTTGTAAAAATAGCTCTCGCTCTGTAGCCTCTCCTAGTCTCCCCAAGGAGCCAGGAGCCCCCAGCAGCTGGCACTTGGCACTCTAACCCCAGCACAGATGGCGGTGTGGCCTGGGCGCGAGGGGACAGCCGGTAGGGGCCAAGGGGGGGACAGAGTGGCTCACCTGCTCCAGTGCACACTGCAGGGAATGTTTCTTGGGAAAGCTGACTGTGGCTGGTCTATCCCAGTGACACCCATGACCCCAGACAAGGCCACAGCTGTGAGCGCGACCTCCGGGGCGCAGTCGCTGGGAAGGCAGCTCAGGGAGGGCTTTAGGTGGGTGCAAGACAAACTCAGGAAGCCTGGCCTCAGGGGTCCCGACAGGGAGAGATCAGCCCAAGGTCAGCGCAGGGGTGAGTCTGTTTTCCACTCTTGTTTTAACCCCTTTTCTCCAGAGCATTTTAGGAACTTGGGGCAGGTTGGTCCTAAACAAGACTGTAAAGGTGAGTCCAACGTTTAGCATCAGTTTTGCTCCCACATTTCCTGTCTGGAGGCCGCGTGCCCTCAGCTGTCTTCCTTTCTCTCCTCCCTCCGGCTGTCCCACTGCACCCAGAGTCCCAGAATCTTCCAGACTTTTGTGCCCATCCTCTGGCCAAATCTACCTTTCTTAAAACTTTCTTAAAGTTCTCAAAGTGAATCTGATGAGCAGATCTGAGGATAAAAACAACTTTACACGATCCTTGCCATATAAAGACCGCATCTGACAACCGAGGCCCTTCCTGAGAGGCGGGGTGGGGGGACCCACCGTGGTGAGGGAGAGTCTCAGTACCGCTCACAAAACTGTTGCAGTAGAACCCTCTTCTGCTCATCAGCTCTCAGAGGTACCCAGTTTACCCCAAGCCTGAGGCTGCATAATTATTTCATCCAGAACTTGGATGGCAGGTTTTCGCCATCTGGGGGACATTTGCGAGCTCGCTCAGAGGAATGTGAGACTGTTGCCCATGCAAGGGGGCAGCGCATTGGGTGGACGGGTGGCGTCTGCCTGGGAGAAGACCAGGGCACACATGTGCCAGGTGTGTATCCTCCTGAGGGACCCAGCCGCAGACCACAGCAGACACCGGTCTCCCCCAGGCCTGAGGAGTGTCAGCTGCGGCTCTCCTCCCCCAGAAGCAGGGTCCTCAGAACAGCAGCATCAGCGTCACCCATAGCTTGTTAGAAATGCAGGGTCTGAGGTCCCCCTTCCTCCAGCCCAGCCTCCTCAAGCGGACTCTGCATTTTCGCAAGATTCCAGGGCATTCCTGTGCCCGCTGAAGTGTGACACACGGGGGTCTGGTGGCCCTTCCTGCCAGTTGTCACTCCTGCCAGCTCTCAGTGCTGGAGCAAGCTCTGCGGGCCTGGCTTCTCCCCTCAGTGACCGTGCATCTGTTTTCCACAGCAAATCAGTGGGGACCCGCCAGCTCCCTGTGTGGACAGAGGACAGTCCCTTCACTTCACACATCTATTTGGGAGGCTTAATGATAAGGCTACTGCGTGCCTGTCCAGACTGTGTTTCTGTCCTCCCACTGTGTTGTTTCTGTCCCCAGGCGATCTATAAGATGGTTTCCTCTGTAATGAAAATGCCTGAAGATGAGTCAACCCCGGAGAAAAGGACAGAAAAGATCTTTCGCCAGATGGACACCAACAGAGATGGTAGGAGGCTGAGGCTGCTGGAGGGCTGGGGGCATCCAGGCAGGGGAGGGCCAGTGGACGACAAGGTATTGGCCCCAAAGACCTGGCACACAGCCCCTTCTTTGTAGAGGTGGCTCATCCTGCCTGCTCCCTGTGGTGCAGGATGGAGGAGGACAGGGTGGGGACAGCCCAGGCCACAGCAGGCTGGCTCCCTGCAGCGCAGCTAATCAGAGAGTGGGGAGGGGCTTGCTGTCCTCCTACCAGACCCCGGTAGCTTTCCCTTTGGGGGCTGAGCGGGCTCTGCCGAGCATGCTCTGTGTGGGGTTTCCTGGAGCCCAGTGAGCTCCACAGCTGCTGGGGTGGGGGGGGACTGAGATGGTCCGCAGGGTCCACCCTGAGCGTGCCCCTCACAATTCCACCCAACAGGGGATGCAAAGCAAACGAAAGTGAAAAGGAAGGTCGGATTTCAAACTCCAGAACAGGAGATTTTAGATGTTTAGAATGCAGGAGGCTCAACTAACTTTGAATTTGGGGGGGGGGGTGTTGTTTATTTGAAATTCAAAGTTAACTGGGCATTCTGTATTTTATTTGCCAAATCGGGTAACTCTCTCTAGAGGTAATGCCTGGATTTAAAGTGCTAAACCCAGCCCAGCTGGTGTGGCTCAGTGGACTGAGCATCCTTTCATGGACTGAGAGGTCCGGGTTCAATTCTGGATCAGGGCACACGCCTGAGTTGTGGGCTCTATCCCCAGTTGGGGGGCGTGCAAGTGGCAGCCAATTGATATTTCTCTCTCACACTCCAACAATAAAATTAAAAATCAATACAGTGCTGAGCAGAGCCTGGGTGGTAATAAGCCCCGAGTCATCTGGAGCTCTCGCTGTTATTACAGCTCCCTGTTCTGCTGGGTGTCCCCTGCAGTTCTTGTCAGTGATGAGCTGATGGACAGGCCGGCAGAAGGCTGTGCAGTGAGCCAGCCTCTCTATCTAATCCCACACCCTCTGGGGCCACCTGCTTCCTGAGAATCTGGGTTTGCTTCCTCCACGAAGGTTCCATGACATCCTAGGACATCTTATTCCCTGGGCACCTGATTCACAGCAAATAGCGTGATTGTTTTTTGAAAATGAAACAACCACGGGATCATTTGAATAGCTAATGAAGTTAAACTGCACATTTTGTTCGCGCCAGGGAGCACAGGTGGGTGGTGCCCCGCCAGGCCCCGCCCCCTAGAGTAGGGCTCAGGCGGGGAGACGACCCAGGCGTCAGGACGAAGCCCTCCCGGCGTGCTGACAGTGGGAAGTAAGCCGGCCTCCGCATGGGGCTCACTGTGGGCTCCCACGGCACCAGGACTCGGTGCGGCAGAGCAGAGCGTTGCCTCTGGACCCCAGGCCGAGCTGACCCCGCCTGGAGCAGAGCCGGCATCCGGAGTCCCCTGCCATTAGTCCTCCTGGCAGAAGCCCTTCGCTCCCGACCCTGGCCGCTGAGCTGCCGAGGAAGCCGGGGCCTGCCCGCAGGGTAGCCAGAGAGAGCGGCCTTCAGTGCGGGGGTGGTTGTGGCACTTCTGACCTGGGTCCCAGAGTCGCCAAGGGGCCACCCCACCCTTCTCACGCCAGCCTGGAAACGTGGGGAAGCGTCACTTTCAGCCGCTGCGGGAGCCGGACCGCAGAAGCCACGGCCAGGACAAGGCTGGGGGCCGGCTCTGCGGATGGGAAGAGCCGGGTAAACCCAGCCCCGCCTCCCCCTTCACGTAGATCAGGTGAACCTGGTTAACCAGAGCTAGGGCCTGGGCCAGGCGCTGCGGCGAAGGAAGACAGATTCCGTGGGGGCGCAGGGGGCTCCAGTGGACGGCACCCTCCTGCCTGGAGCTGGGTCAGGCGAGAAATAGAGCGCACGGCGGCTGGAGGGCGGAAGGTGCAGCCAGGGGAGTGGAGCAGGCCCGGGCACCAGGAGCTGGAGGGCGGAAGGGAGCACGTCCTCCCCGCAGCAGCCCTGCCCCGAGAAGAGACCAGAGCGGAGCGGGAGGGCCTTCGGGAAGCCCCGGGAGCGAGGAGGCATTGCCTCCCTCCCGAATCTGACAGAGGGACCCCTGGAAGGGACACAGAGTAGGAGTGATCCCAGTGGCTGAGTCTTTCTCTTCCAGCTAGTCAGGTATGAGGAAAGCACCCTGGTTGATGACAGGGTCCCAGGGGGCAGCCCTCTGCCTTGTGCGTGCACCCCGCTGTTTTCCTCACCTCGGATGGAGGTGCAGCTGTCCTCTCTGCTGTCCCCAAGGGGCCCTCCCTCAGCTCTCAGTGCGGCCCTCTGCCCACACGCAGGGGAGCGACTCCTGCGGCAAACCTGTCTGCAAGCGACCTGAAGGAGCCCAGAGGGTCCCGGTGACGTTGTGGGAACGGCTGCGGTGCCCGGAGAACCCAGCTCGGTCTCAGAAAGGCCCGGGGGCCATTCCGTCCACAGACACCGAGTGAGCTCCAACAGGGCGCCTGCAGCTGGAAAGGCCGGGAGGACGGGGTCATGTCTGGGCCCCCCGCACCCCACCAGGGCAGTAACAGTGGCTCTCAGGAAGACGTGTGCCCTGCAAGGGTCTGGCCCTGCGGTAGTGAGCGAGGGCCTGCCCCGTGGGCCTCACGGCGGCTGCTGGCCCCCAGGATGCAGGGGGGAAGAGCATGATTTCACCCACCGCCACTGCCGCCACTCACCCCTGCTCCACCCTCTTGTTTCTAGGAAAACTCTCCCTGGAAGAGTTCATCCGAGGGGCCAAGAGCGACCCGTCCATCGTGCGCCTCCTGCAGTGTGACCCCAGCAGCGCAGGCCAGTTCTGAGCCTGCGCCCCGCGAATCCTAGGGCTGCCTGTGTTCCCCTTTGGATTTTTCTTTTTAACCTTTTTTTTTTTTTTTGCCAAACAATATTGATGGTGATGCTGTCCCCGTGCGGTCAGATGCACCTTCCTCCGTGACGCCTTCAGCTTCTTTCGTTTGTGGACGCTTCGTGGGAATGCCCGCCCGACGCTTGTGGGGAGCATGGGCAGTGCTGTCGTGCACAGACTCTGGTGTTCATTGTTCTGACGATTTTAAATGGTTGTTGTTATTCTTTTCTCTTGATTCTACTGTCTCTGTTCTAAACCCGAAGACCCGGGGAAGCCGGAGAAGGGAAACTGATCTAATGCAATGATGCTGTTACAAGCTTTGAGGGGCTTGTTTGAAAAACAAAACTTCGCCTGGGGCTGTTGTCACACGTGCCCGAAGGGTGATGGCACCAGGTGTGGGAGCCCCAACCTAAGAATAGGGACCGTTCTGGGGCCAGGCTGTGAAAGACCCCGGGGGGTTCCTCCCCAGCAGGCCTCCGGCCCTTCCCAGCAAGCTGTAGTTTCCAAGCTGTGAACATTTCAAAATAAATTAATAGTGAGAGAAAAAGATGGCTCAGCTGTTTTTTCACAGGTTTACACTAGTTGAGCTAAGATGAGTTTCTTTAAAATTAATCACAAATGGTAACTTATATTACAAGACCAGACTTATCTTGTTGCCTCTTGTGATTAAAAAAAAAAAAAAAAAAAGAATGCTGTATATACAATATTGGGTATTGCAGACCAAATTAAGTGTTTTTGCCTTGTTTAAATGAAATGCATGTTTAGTGAGCACTAATCCAATCTTATTACAGGTATATTTTATATATTCCAGAAAAGTACAAAGTAATCATGGCCAGCCCAAACTTAATTCCGAATGTGTTTCCAGACTAGCAGTGCCTGGAGAGTCGAGGCAGGGCAGGCTGGGGTGGACACGTCGACTGCAGCACCACCGGAAGGTTAAGACTTACGAGAGGCAGGGGAGACGGTTTGCCCACCGGCCCAGCAGCTCCTTGGTAGTATGACACTGAAGGTGTGGTGCTTGTCTAAGCAAGTCAATATTCTGTAGACCCAGGAAAAAAATGGTGTAAATTCTCAGGACTGCCCAGTGGTTTGATCCACATGAATGGTCAGGGAGCCACATCTGGAAGGCCAACTTTCCACGCCCCAGCTGACCCTACAGAGACTCTGAGGCTGCACAACCACCCGATGCATTGTGAAGAAGGCACTGGTCAGTGCATCAGTGATGTCCAGGGCCCACCATGGAGAATCCAAAGGTATTTTCCATCGCCACGTTCTTTGAATGCAGATTTTTATTTCCGGAAGTGACAGCACAAATTTGAGTTGGTGACCTCATCCACACCAACCTGAATTGAAAGTTAGGAGTAAAAGACTGCTGGTCACAGGGGAATCATATTTCGGTAAGCATGAGGAAACCCAAACACTCCAAGATGTAGATGGGGAGAACGCCCCAAGAGAAGGCAGAGAGGTCCCCTGTGGGTCTGTCTGCTGCCACGCTACCTCCTGTAGACCAAGAACCACAGAAAGGTAGACATAACCACCAGAAAGATGAGGCTGAGCCCATTCTAACCTCCAGGTTCTCGTGTACCACTTGAATCCATCTTAACGGGGAGCAAATATCCAGATTTGTGGGGTTGACCAAAATGAATCAATTTTGCAGGATGAAATTTTGAGACCTGGACTTGATAAAATAATTGTAATCTTCCTCTGAGTGTCAGTTTCTCATAGTTGTTTTATACTGAGACTTGCGAAGTTCCTCCAGGACCAAAGTGGTAAAATCTAGTTTTGAAAAATAGGGAATTAACCTAAGACATGGAGTGGGCAAGGGGACCCAGCACCTCCCTTGATAGTTCAGGGCACACCTCCCTTCTTCCCAGCCTCGACTAAAGACCTCATTCCTCCTTTTAGTTCTCCTTAGATGGTGGAGTGAGTCAGTGTTTGGGAAACCCACTTGGGCTCTGCCCTTGGTTGTGACGTCTTGTCGAGCCAGACTCACTGTTTCCCTAGGACCTAGAGCTGGAGAGGGGAGCAGGGAAGAGGGTCTCCAGCTAATTAGGAAAGAAAACAAGAGCCTTCTCTTGGGGCATGGCTAATGGACGCCGCCACACAGGGACGCACGGAAGTAGCCCTCGTCCTGGCCTGCCGTTGACCTTGTCTGTATTTTCTCCACGGTTGTTTTCTTCTCTCCTTCCTGGGAAGGCCTTTGTGTGTCTAATGCAGTGCACTCGTTTTTGGCCAGCGGACTCTGCAGCACACAGAAAGCTGGATGCCTGAAGGTTTATGTCACTCCTGTGCTGGGCTGTTCATTGTCACTGCTGTGTTGAGGGACCTCTGGAAATGGATTGTGCTCTGTCTGAAATCAAGCCAGCCTGTGATGTTCAAGGGACTGGAATAAAGTGGCTTATAAATTGAAGAATGATATAGAGTGGTTAACTGTTCATACCCTGGTTTAGGGTGGGGAAGGGGTGCCGAGGGTGCTGTCCCACATGTCGATATGCCCCAGAGACACTTGCCACAAGTGGATTTAATAAGATACATACTAAATGGTGCTGCTGGTTTTGTACGGATTCATTTTTAAACCATTAAAAAAGAATTACTGGGAAAAAATAAAAATAATAATATACATACTCACAAATCACATGGGGTGGAGCCTATAGCAGCTGACTGTGTCTCTCCAGCTGGGCAGTCAAGCATGTTGAGTATGTAATGATTGTCTAGGAAACCAGGTTTCCATGCCTACACTGCTGCTCCAGCTGAATCTGTGCCTGTGTGAGGGTCCAGGTGCTGATTCTGGCCTCCTTGTGGGAATGGTTTCTGCCCTCGAGACACACGAGGAATCAGGGTTTGTGGAAGCAGGGATCAGAGAGGGTGCTGAGCCCCAAGCCCCATCCTAAAGCATCCGTGGTCTACACTGGGCTTCCTTACTTCCCTCCCGGCATGGCCTTCACCTTCTTCTCACCTCCTCTCCTTCCTCACAACTGGAGTTGCAAACTCTAGTTTTAACTCCAGGTGCAATGGCAGGAGAAACTGAGGCAACCTCCTCTTCAGTGGGAATTAATATCCTCCCCTTCCCTCTCCTTGCCTCTCAGTCTGGAGAAGTCAGTAGAAAAGATGACGCGGTTCAGAGCCCACACCCTCAAGCCTAATTCAGATCAACTGTGTTTGTTTTTTGCTGTCACTGGCCCTGCCTCCTGCACAGGCCATTAATGTAGGAAAAAAGGCTGAGTGTCAGCTATCGTAGGTGCCTCATGGGCCCACTAGACCTCACGTAGGAGTGGAGTTGGCCCAGAACAGAGTCATTTTCTACTTTATACAGTTTCTCGTTTTGGACCAGCAATGACCCTGATACCCATGAGTACTGAGCATGAATAGCAGCATGTCATTTGTGGCAGTGGTGGTGAGAAGGTGGTTGGGAGCCTCCAACCTGATTAGGAACCTGAAGTCCCACACTTATTGTGGGCAAACCTGGCAATTTCCAGCAAATTTCTAAGCCCGAGGCTCCTATTTTCAGGGTATTGTCCTAACACCCCCACACAACTGATCCCCTCCCAGCCTAGTTCAGGCATGGAGAGTACACCTCAGTTGAGGCGGGGACAGAGTGTTCTCCCAGTCAAGGTGGAGGAGATCATGAGAACTGTCTTTGGAAGAAATGGAGATGCTTCACACTTGCCTCTCTTGTCTTTGTCAGGAGATGCCCAGCAGTCTCCTGAAATATTCTGTTTTTCAAGGTGGCTGAAGAAACAAGAGAAAGAACATTGAGCCCTGTATTTTCCAAGGCAGTAGAGTATCAGTCAAATCCACCTAAAAACAGAAAGATCATTGTAGATGAAAAGATGTTCAAGACAAGGGTATAACCAATGGTACATTCATTTCAGACGGGTTTCTCTATACTTGTCAGGATGCAGGTAGGTCCTGGACACTTGCTGCACTAGATATTCAAGTTCCATGCCTGGTCCCAGACATCCCTGGAGTTGCAAACAAGGATCACTCAGAACAATTCACGGTGTGGAGTTCACTCCCTGGGAAAGATCAGAGAGGGGCCAGAGCCTTGGGGAGGCTTAGTTCGTGACTTCTTTTCTCCACACTATTCCAGGCAATGGATGGCATTTTAATTGTTCTCTAGAAGAGATGGTGAAACCACTTCAAAGTTCTGCACAGCTCAGCTTGCCAACCCAATTAAATACTCAGTATGTTACACACATGTAGACGGATGGACAGACTCTCAAAATGTGTCTTTCCAATATCAGTAATCTCTTTACTGGGCTTTCATTGAGTGTTCAATGCTGGCCCAACACAGTACCAAGTACTATAGTCGAAGTTGTATGTGTGTGTGGAGGGTGGGCAAAGGGATAGGAGTTATTAGCAAAGAAACAGGAGATGAAGCTCATAGCTTAGCTGGTAAATTGTGTGCAGCACCTTAGACATTATTATGAAGAGCCCTGGCCAGTGTGGCTCAGCTGGTTGGAGCATTGTCCCGTTCACCGAAGGGTCGAAGGTTCAATTCCCAGTCAGAGCACATACTCAGGTGGTGGGTTCAATCACCAGTCAGGATGCATACAGGAGGCAGCCAATCAATGTCTCTCTCACACACTGATGTTTCTCTCTCTCCCTCTTCCTTCCTCACTATCTAAAACAATAAAAGTGTGTCCTTGGGTGAGGATTTAAAAAAAAAAGATTATGAAGTAGCTTATACTTACGTCTGATGGCAAAGCAGAAATCAAGTTCTTCGTTGAGTGAAAGAGATGTTTGCTACCTAACGAACAAGCAGATGACATTTGCCTTTAGTGACCTTTCAACACCCCCTTCCTCTCTTTTGCTACTTCTGGATGATCAGAGCCCCTCACTGTGTTTCCTTAATACCCACCCATCCATTTAGCAGAGCTCAGAGAAGTGTAGGGATGAAGGACCCTGCAGACAAAGGGTGTAGCATACTAAGGTGGTAGACCAGAAAACCCACTCGGGATGTTTGCATGTGAAAGTAGAGCCCCAGTGAATCTGTTCGAGGCCTTTTTAGAAGGAATTGACTGAGGTGACTACAGAGGCGCCCGTTCAGAGCTGCTTCTACAAAAACCTGCTTCTGGAAGCACAGCTAATTGACAGGCTCCAGCTGCAACTTTCCGAGCCACCTGTGTTCACTCCGAGGCCACACTCTTCCCAGGCTCCTTCCAGCCAATGACTGCATGTGCTGGGGTTACTAGAACCAGGCCATTCTTACCCCAAATGGGATTCTTCCCACCAGCGCGTGACCTCTTCTCAGGGACTCTGCTGGCCTGGTTGAGGCAGTCTGAGGCTCCTGCCCTAGCTTCCCCCCTCCCCCCCACCTTTTGCAGGGGGTCAGTCTGCACGCTCTCCATCCCCTCCAGCTCACTTCCTCGTTACCCTTCACATGAATTCCCTAATACATCTCCTGGATATCTAACCCCATCTTGGCTTCTGCTTCTTGGAGGACCTGGCCTGATGTCACAGGGACCATTCCCTTCCCCAATGCTATTGACCCTCAGAAACATAGGGCTCCGACACTGGAGCGGGCAGCCTTCCCAAGTGAGGTTCACATTTGGTGACCTCTCATCACATTTTGAAACGCTAGGAATAAGAGGGGTTTGTATGCCTTAGGACTGAGGGATGACAGAGACGTTGTCACCTCACACATCTGCCTGTCCCCAGAATGGGACACAGCACGTGGTCTGTAGTAACTGAACTGAACTGGTACAGAGTGGAAGGCAAGAGGTGGAACTGACCCTGTGGCCTTGACAACTGGTCATCCTTGCCTTCCTGACCAGTCCCAGTCCAGGGAGGAGGGACAGGGGGTGGCACACATGGTGAGCGAAGTTCACCGAACAGCAGGACGACTGCCATGGGCCAACAGAGGGGCTGCCCCAGGGGAGGAGCGGAGACCAGCTGCATCCTCAGCAGGACCTGCTTAGGCCAGTGGGGAATGGATTCAGACTCCTACTTAGACCTTGTAACATGGATCATGGCAAAAAGGCCTCGTGGCCCATTTCTAAGCCCACGACCTCTCCACAAACCTCAGTGGACACTGTTCTGACCTCCTCTTCCCTGCCCACTGGTCCAGACATAGAGATCGTTGGTGATGCCACTGGGGTCGAATTCGGAGAAGGCTTTCTGAAGGCAAGTTTTTAACAAAGATTTGAAAGCTGTAGACATGGCTAGAGAGAGAAGGTAGGAAGTGGAGGACACAGAAGTACCATTTGCTTGGCATGGAGAGCTCTCAGGAGAGAATCATGGACGACAGTAAAGGAGTGTGGCTGGTTCCGTGGTGGGTGCTGACTGAGGACACCGATACATAGCAGGATAGTGAGTTGAGGTGTCTGCATTTCAGCTGACAGAAACTAGCAAGCCTGTGGATTCCAGGACAAGAGGTTGTCATGATGAATTGGAAGTTCCAGTCGCGTGGTTTTGGTCTCTGCAGAGGCTGGTGCAGATGAGCTAGGGAACCAGAGCTCTATGCTAGTCCAAGTGGGGGAGGGAACTGGGAACGAGGAGGGTAAGTGAGTGAACCGGTTCCTCAGGACAGAACCTACTCTTTGCCCTGAGGAACTGGTCAATAATGACCAACTGGTGGCCTGTCGTAGACACACTGAAGGCCTCTTCTTAACCTTGGGATAGGACACAGAAGGTGACCAGAGGAAATGCCCGCTGTGTTGAAGCCAGGACCCAAAGGTGTCCAAGGAGAGTCTGGAATCTTTCTAGCTCACAGAGTTTCTTTCCAATCAGGCAAAGAATCTCAACACACGTCACAAAAAGTATCAGACACTGTTATTTACTCTTACTTTATGAATATTTATTTGTTCTTCTTAAAAATGTACAAAAAATAAAATAACTGTATTTATAGTTTATAGATTCCCGCTCTCCCATTTACAAAACTATTAAGTTACATTTGCCTTTGTTTAAACACGAGCGCAAACTGTCCGTCAGTCTCCCTTACTTGTCTGTAAGAAAGGGCTGTTCATAGGATTTGGCACCAACCCTCTGTTTTTGTTGCATTTCATGATTTTAAATAAGAAGGAAAATAGATGTTTGACTCATTTCATGCTCCCTAAGTGTGCGGCATGGGACGCGCCTTCATCTTCTAGGATCCAATTCCAAGAGGACATCTGACTGCGTTTTCCTGTGGGCCCCAATTTCCAAACACCGGAAAGGCTAAGCAATGTGGGTACGTACTTTAAAAAACATGTGTCACACGTCCCTAATTTTACATGGATATTTTAAAAAGCTTATTTATTTGAGTATGATTAACTTAAGGGACAACAACAGAAGAGGAGGCGAATTTTCCTATTTTTCTGGAGTGTTGTTGCTCAGGACATCTTCCTTGCCAGAGCTCTGCCGAGTTCCGTAGTGAGGAACACGTCACAGCTAAGCCATGGCACTCTGAGAATGCAGAGGGGTCGTGGTCACCAGGAGGGACAGGTCAGGGGGGTGGCACCGCGCCACCCTTCGGTGGCACTGCCCTCTGTTCTGGCAGTGGTCACCACAGTGATTGCTCAGGGACCTGGGACAAAGGCATTTCTGATTCATTCTCTGCCTACGGCAGGAGCAGCAAACATTTCTCACAGGAACTAGAGAGAAGGGAGATAACCTGTGTCAGATTGCCAACGTTTAACAATCTTGTCCTGTGCCCCAGTCCAGTCACGTTGCCATTCTGTCTGCCAATCCTGTTTGAAACCACCCCTAAGGCAAGGAGCATGGGAAGTGCATAGTACGTCAGGTATTTCCAACACAGTGTGTCCCTCTTAGAACAGAGCCCCGTGGGGACCCAGCAGGGCCCCCAGCTGCTAGTCCAGGGCGTGGCAGTCACTGAGTGGAGGAGGGGACAGACGGTAGAGCTGAATCTAGGATGCAAACCTTTGGCACCACAGTGGGGGTGTAAGTTGTCCAGAAGACACACAGAAAGGTGCCCCTTACCACCACCCAGAGGTCTTCCTAAGCATGGCACCTGCCCTCCATTCCATTCAAATCTGCAGCTCACAGAGAAACAGCTGGGCTGGAGGGACCCCAGGGGCAGGTGGTGGGAGGCAGGGGGCCCTCAGGGAGAGAGCCCCCACGTAAGACGCAAAAGTGCTTTACAAACAGATCTGGGCCCTTACAGCAAACCTTCCTGCTCTAGGTCCTTGGGTGGGGGATGTATCTGGATGCCACAAAATTGGTGCTTCCACCCACGAGGGTGAATGCAAACGCCCGGACCACCTACCTGTTCCCTCAAAGAGAACAGCGACCCGGGACAGTTCTCGGTTTTGTGATTGTCTAGGGAAGTGTGTTTTCTCATCTTCATCTCTCAGGACCTGTAGCAGGAGGCGGAGTTCTCCTCTGGAGGCTGGATTCAGAAGAGCCAGGGCTCTTGGGACACTGTCCCTTCCTCCATCCCTCCCTTCCTCCCTCCCTCCCTCTCCCTCCCTCCCATCCTCCATCCCTCCCTCCAGGCCCAGCAGCCAGGAGCAGAGGCTACTGGTCCTTCCCTCTCTCGCACCGAGGGCCAGGAGGCCGCCCTGGCTTGTCCGTTCAGACGCGAGCTGTTGGCACCACTGTCAGCACTACAGTCGGGCTTTTAAGGGGCCACTTGAGATGAAGGACATGCTTGTAAACTGTGGGGCACCACACAGTGGCCAGGACCGTCATGATAGCCAGGGAGCTCTGCAGCGGGCCCCAGCGACAGGGTTCTGGGGGCAACCCCCTCCAGTCTCTCCAGAGAGCTCGGGCTGTGCCAACACCAAAGCTGGCAGAGCGGGGGCCTCAGACAGCCGGGCCTTTCCCACACGGCAGCTCGGAGGGAGACTCAAGCAAAGCACATAACCCCGAGACAAGGCGGCGGGCTCCAGAGGCCGTGCGTGGAGAGAGAACGGGCTCTCTGCGCGGACAAGACCGCGTTCCTGCCCGTGCCCGGAGCATCTGTCTCGACACCCACCTTAGTCTCTTCTACCCTGAAGGCCACTCCCCTAGCCCAGCATGTCTCCTGCTCAGCAAAGAGGCAGACACCTCTTACAGAAAGCAGTCTCCAGGTATGTGCCTCCCCTAGGCCACGGCAGTAAACATGCCCACATACCACAGGTAAAATATATTATTGCGATATTATAAACACTATGTACATGGTAGCCAGGCGTGCCTTCCAGGGCGCTTACTAGTTACATGGTGGCTGAATGTCTTCCTGTACAAGGCCTGATGGCCACTTGCTGGGGACCTCTGGAGGTATCTAGCAAGATGACCTTCCCCAGATCAATCTCAGGGGTTGACCAGTAAGAGGACATCCACTTCTTACCCCACCTCTGACTGCTGTGCCCAGAGGCAGCTCGTTTTGTCCAGCCATCGGGCGAAGTGGGGAGGTGAGAGACGGGACGAGACCTTCTCAGGCTCTTCACGAGGGAGGATTGGCGGCGTTGCCCTTGAGGGCTCTGGATGGCGTCATCTGGAGCCAGCAGTGACCTGCAGAGACTTGGCGAGCCTGGCCCTGGGCTCCGGAAAAAGGTGGACAATAAATAAGGGTCTGACAGACGCAAGGCCCCTTCCCGAGGGGCGTGGGCCTCCGCTCCACAGCAGGAGCCGGTGGATGGGCTCAGGCCCGCCGCTCCCCAGCACAGTCGTGTAACAGCAGGTGTGAGACGGGTGAGGCGGGTCTGCGGGTTCTGGGGCCGGGCCTCCTCCTCACCCAGGGAGGGACGCACTGGGGGCAAGCCGAGACCAGGCTCAGATTTCCATGAGTGTGATCTTAAAGCCTTCCACCATGCTCTCCATGTTGAGGATGAAGGTGTCCTCGTTCGAGTAGTGCTCAATGATGTTGTCATCCATGTTCACCAAGATGCTGAGGGGGGTGGGGGAGAAACAAAGGTGCCATGAGCGATGTGCCGGGGCAAGGGCGGACTCTGGGCTGGGGGCTCCCTTTGCCATTCTTTTGCAAGGGAAGACAGGAGGGTGGAAGAGAGGGGAGACAAAGCAGGGAGAGAAGACCCTCGTTACGTTGTCTTTCCTTAGAAACCAGTTTCGGGAAAGCAAAGCCTTAATTTCTCAGAACGAACCTCATGAGTCCTTATTAAACTTCAGAGAGCATTCAATTCAACGGTCTTGCTGTATCGATGGGTAAACGGAGGCCCAGAGACGTTAATGGAGCCTGAACTCACAGACGTAGCTATTGACATGTTCACAGAGCCAGGACCTAAACAGTTAGGGACCCTACATTCTTTAAACCATGTGGCCTCTTGAAAATGCATTTTAGAAAGTATTCTGCGCCTGGGGGGAAGAGGAGAATAAGCCAGAACTGTGGCTGCCCTGCGCTGAGCGTGGCGCATGTTCCGGGGGCCCAGAGACCTAGTGCTTCACCCTCCCGGCAGCCTCGCACGCAGACGAGAAAGCAGCTCGGTGAGGCTCAGTCACTTCCCCAGGTTCATTCAGCTAATTCGCGCCTGAGTTGGGTTTTGACACGAGCTCTGCCTCACTCTGACGCTCATCCTTTACCACATGTGACCTACTCCTTCGTGATTTATCCCCAGTGGATTTGGTTTTAAGAAAATCAACAACTTTCAGGGTCTGTCCATGACTGGGTAGCCCTGGAGCCGATCCCAGCCATCGGAGTCAAACAGATCCTACTGCGAATGAAAAACTGACCATCGTTTCACAGCGCTGTGTCGTCAGGCAAGTTGTTTGGACTTTCAGAGCTTCAGTTTATTCTTCTGCAAGAATAAGAGTAACAACCCTGCTCCGAAGGCTTGTTGTTAGGATTAGAGGGTTTGGCCCAGGGCCTGCGCGGTGCTCAATGAAAGGAAGAGTTAGCGTGTTCAGCCTGGACGGCAGCACCGGCGTCTCTACTCGGCAGCAAGATGTTGAGACCGTCATCTCGCCATCGGGAGTAAACGCAGACGGTGGCGCTGACCTCGGAAACGACTGAAATGCGCTTTAGTGAGCTTTCCAGCAAGGCCTTGAGTAGAAAAGGTTTCTTGCTTGACTCCTCATCGGCCAAGAGACCTCATGACTGAGAAAGCCTGAGCTACCCACACAATCCATTTCCTTTTTGAAAGAGGCCCAGGGAAGCGTTTAAAGAGCCACCTTCTGCCCTTTGTAGGAAAATAGCCCCAGAAGCCGACTTAATAAAGCGCCCCTGGCACTAGACCAGCTCTCGCCTGTACCCTCAGAGGAGGCCGGGCCCTGGAGGTGGCCGACAGCAGGCGAGGGGCTGAGCACTTGAGCTCTGGGGCCACAGACCTGGGTTCAAATCTACGTTCCGCCTACTGAACATGAGACCTTGGCAAGGTGCCTGACCTGCACGGGGCTCAAGTTCCTCAGGAGGAAATTAGGAATAAGACTCTACCTCATAATAGAGCAGCGCCTAGAAAACACGTAGCAGGGGACCCGGAACCTACTGAACACCCACTAAATGAGGCTGTTGCTCTTAACACTGAGAACAAGCAGGTCCAGTGATCATTTAGACCCTGTTACTAATTCCTTCGGAAGAATGAATCCTTTTGTTTCTACTGGGCAGCCCTGAATCCAACCCCAAGTGCAGCATGGGATTCCCTATAAACTCCACTCTGCAGAAGGGTGACTTTGCCACTCACCCACTTCCAGACCCTCTGTTCCACCCACTAATCCTGTCACCAGAACAGGGCACCTCAGCTGACAGCATGACAATGTGCAGCTCTCCCTCCCTCTCTCACTAAAGGCCCTTGGAATGCACTGCACTTGGAAGCTGCTCGCTTGGAAGGATGACACACAATTTTATAAAAGGTGGACAATGGGCCTGGCCAGTGTGGCTCAGTGGATGGAGCACTGTCCCATGGACTGAGAGGTCCTGGTTCGATTCCCGGACAGGACACGTGCCCGGGATGTGGGCTCAGTCCCCAGTGGGGAGCGTGCAGGAGGCAGCTGATGAATGTTTCTGTCTCACATCAATGTTTCTATCACTCTTTCCTTTCCTCTCTCTCTAAAAAATCCATAAAAACACATATATATTTTTAAATTGTGGACAACGGAACTAACAAAAGAGAGGCACCATCTTTTTTTTTTTTTTTTTTTCTGTAAGGCACCATGTTGACTTATCTGATTTGAAAGTTAATTTAAGTTCAGGTTCTTTCTTACCCTTTTTTGCTTTTCTTGTAAAGCTTTGCTATCTTCTCCACCGGCAGCCCGTATTTCTCAGATATCTGTAACACCAAAAACAAAAAGGCAGATGAGCTCAGAAGGGGGTCTAAGCAGGAGCAGGAGAGAAAGTTCCACTGCACTCTCTTGGAGATTTTCCTGGACGCCAGGGTCCTTCACTCATGAGTCAGACTCTCAAAATGCCCCATTTGCAAGGCTCTCCCTTTGGACAAAACTTAAATCATTCGGCTACATGGGAACTAAATCTAGGAGGAAAGTGTCACTTCAGATCAATCAGAAAAAGATGGACCGTTATCATGATGTGGATTTAATAGGTAGCCGTATAGAAAAAAATTAGCAAGTTAAGCTGCATCCCTTCTCCACTCCTACATCGAAATAAAGCAAATCACAGATTTACAAGAAGCCCATGAGTCAATTATTTGTATAGATACCATCGTCAAGTAAGGAAGATCCTTCCAAGAACAATAAGAAACCTGAAGGAAAAAGATCAAAGGTTGATGAAACAACACAGAATTAAGAGTACCAGTATAGCAAAAACCACCATGACAAGCTGAGGCCGAATAATCCAGTGGGAAACATTTTTGCAGCACAAATGAAAGACGTGGAACTAATTTCCCTAAGTTAGAAAGAATCCCTGAAAATCAAAACAAAAACGCAAAACACCTGACAATCCAAGAGAAGAAGAAAAAACCATGAAGAAGTAATTCACAGCAACAGGACAATACGCATGTGAAAAAATGCTCCACCTCACACATAATTAAAAATTCAAATGAAAGCAAAAAGATACTACTTTCAATCCATCAGACTAACAAAAACTAAAAATTAATAATACAGTGTCAGCCAGAGTCTGAGAAACAGCCACCCCCATGTTTTATAGATGGGATTGAGCAATAAGCTCAATCGTTTTGCAGGGAAATTTGGCATAAGTTGTTGAAATTAAAAATGCACATATCGTTTGACCCACATACTCCACATCTAGTCATCTGGTCTACAGAAGTACACTCAGATGTCCACAGAGCTCCTCAAAGACTCACTGTTCACAACACAGAAACTGTGTACAACAAACACCCAGTAAGAACATCGTGATATTTCACAGCTGAAACCCATGCAGTCACTAGGACATTAAAAAAATGTGAGAAGCCTACATGGGAAAAAATGTCCTTAACATTCGAAGGAGGGAAACAACAGGTTGCAGAATAGTCTCTACATATTGTGTGATCCCATTTGTGTGTGTGTGGTTTTTTTAAAAAGATGTTAAGTGTATAGAAAATATTTCAAGGACACATCAGTTCATTAAGTGGCAACCCTAGAGAAATGGACAGAAATAGATTCTCTTTCCTTTTTATTTTGTGCTATTCTGTACAACTTACTTTACTTTCAGAATGATTATGATTTACTTTTATAAATGTAAAGTAGTAACAGTTTAGAGCTGCATCTGCGCTGTCTCCCTCCCAAGCCCTATCTGCCTGCCTCTTCGAAGCCGAGGGCTGGTGGGGCTGACAGAGTGCTGGGGCCAGCTGGGGCTGGGAAAAGATGCTGAAGAGCCCCAGGGACAAGGCAGGGTAGCTTTGGATCCTGGGAAGGGCTTGTGCTACAGAGAATCCTAGACTCCTCCCCATTTATGCTCTCACTCACAGGAAGAACTCCCCATCCCATGATAGGCCCAGCAGGAGCAGAACAGGTGGGCCCTTGGCTGAGAGAGCGAAAGACAGATCGAGAAACAAGCACCTGCCTGCCCTCATCACTGCTCCATCACTGGTGGGATGGCCCACGGCCACACTTGAGTCGAAAGGAGCCCAGTATATGAAATAGCACATCCAAGGCAGGCCTGTGGACAGAACCTGTATTGGAGGCCCCCGTTTCAGCAGAACATAAAAGAGCACGTATGAAGATCATGAAAGAACACTTGTGAAGACTGCCGAACAGCACACATGTGCAAAATTCTGATCTAAAAATGTGATTATTAAACTAAAAAAAATTTAAAGTTCAGTAGATGAACTGAAAGATAGGTGGTCAGTACAGCAAACCAATAATGTTTGGAAGGATCAATCAGAAAAACAATTCCAAAGTGCGAACCAAAGACACATAGAGGGAAATCACGAAGGAAAAAAAAAAAAAGGAGAGAGATTTTAAAGAATAGAGGGAGGCCATACAAGATGTGAATCTCTGAAGTTCCAGACAGAGAGAAAGGAACAGATGGAGAAGAGGAAATCCCTGAGCAAATGACAGAAGAAAGATCCATGTCTTTGGATAGGAGGGGCGGGGTGTCCTGAATCCCAGGAGAAATCAGTAAGAAAAGACAGACATGTGGCCATTCTGAAAAGTGCCTGATCTCCAAGGGTAATGAAAACATTGTGGAATCTCCCAGATAGAAAGAAAAAGTAAAAAAAAAAAACAGAAGAAGAAGGAAGAGGAGGAGGAAGAGAAGAGGAAAAGGAAGAGGAGGAGGAGAAGAGGAAGAGGAGGAAGAAGAGAAGAGGAAGAGGAAGAGGGGGAGGAAGAGAAGAGGAAGAGGAGGAGGAGCAGCAGCAGCAGCAGCAGTGGAAACCTGGCTTCAGTCTTCTCATCCACAACACTAGAAACCAAAGGATAATGGAATAACACCTACGGACTACTGAAAAGAAGGAACTTCACCCCGAGAATCCTATACACCAACAAGCTATCCCTCATCCCTCAGAGTGAAAGAATGACATCCAAGAAATACAAGAGTTCAGAGAGCATTTCACCAAAACATCCCATTTGAGGAAAATACAAAAGAATCCTATCTAAACAGAAAATGCATCAGAAAGAGACTTCAGCTAGGCCAAGGGGAAAGAAAACAAGCAACCAGTGTTGTGCCATAGAGAGATAGATTGTAGATAGATAGATAGATAGATAGATAGATAGATAGATAGATAGATAGATTGTAGATAGATAGATAGATTGTAGATAGATAAATTGTAGATAGATAGATAGTAGATAGATAGATAGATAGATAGATAGATAGATAGATAGATGATAGATACTCTATATGTCTGTATAACTATACATATAACTCTATGTCTCTATCATCTATAGACAGTTACATGGACTGGGCATGTGAAATTAGTGCTAAAAAAGGATTATTGAAGTAAAAAAATAATAATAGGCAAAAATCTAATTGTTTCCTGCAAAGTGTTAAAGTAGTTCAGCAACACTGGGAAGCCGGGAGTTTGTGGGGACACTGTGGGATAAACATCTCAATGAACTCGTCCTAGAGGGGGGAGTCACTCGGAGGGGAGGCACACGAAAGCTCTAGAGTGTTGCTTGTCTTCCTGGGTGGGGAGGGAGAGCTAGAGATGTTCATGGGAAAGGCATTTGAGATTGTATTTTCAAATCACAGAGAAATAAGGAAGAGAAAGGGGTTGAAACAATCTAGGAAAAGTAAAGAATAGCTTTCAAGAAAAGGTTAAAAACCAACTAACTCCAACTGCAAAACCAAAGACAAAGTGAGAGGAAACCACAGAGTGAAATAAATGATAAACGAAAAGGAAGACGGAAGAAATGAAATCAAGTCTTTCAGTCATTATACCAAATGAGAACAAACTGCATATTTTCACTGAAAGCGAGATTGGGCAAAAACGAAGAGAAAAAAATGAAAGAAGGATGAGGAGCAAGACAGGAAACCCGCTGTAGGCTGTTTCGAAGAAAAACACTGACCACACTGGATGAGCAAGAGGAGGGCTGAGGGATGACCACACCAAACAAGTGCCAATGAAAAGGCAGGAGCCATGAGATTAATACTGGGTCAGGGAGAAGTTAAGATGAGGTGAGAATGGACAGTACGGAGTAACGATAAAAAGCACAATGTATGCAAAACACAGAGCAACCAGACTTCACGCATCCCGCAGCACAGCACTTCAGCAGAAATTGTTCCAGGTGCAGGGAAAACCTGGAAACACAATTACAGTGGGAGACTTGAATATAACGCTTTAAGAACTGGACAAACCTAATAGACAAATAAGTAAAAATAGTTGAATAATATAATCGGTATACTAGATTTTACACACACACACACACACACACACACACACACACACACACCCCTAAAGAGAATCTATCATTGGGCCACAGAGACAAGCCAAATGACATCCCAATTCAACACAATTAGAAATGCACAATTTGAAGTTGCCAGAAATGCTCCGTTGTTTGGAAGGACTCCTCCAGAACCCTGGCTGTGCAGCCGCTCGGCATCCCTTTCTCAGAAACTCAAATTCCTTTAGCCACTGTTTGGGAGGATCCTACGCTTTATATCTGTCTAAATAAATTCGAACACTAGCAAGTTTCTTTGAGCATCTTAATGCTGTTTCCAAATCTGGTGAGATCCTCTGAATAATGTAGCTCCAAAAGCTCAACACCGCCTCCCTCTGGAAGAATTTCGACCCCCATCTCTCTGCCTCCAAGCCCAGCAGCTGCACTGTCTGTCAGGTCTCGTGGTGATGTCTACACCTGCACATGTAAAGCTAAAGAGAAACGCTGATGTGAACTGGTTCTGTAGCCAGGGGCCCGAGTGGCCTTGCTGAAGGGACAAAGGAAGGATGACCAGGTGTGACTTTTCTCAGGAATGAGCTCACCACCTTCCCCAGCCCCTGCGGTTCTCGAACTGCTCGGTTAGCACACGAGCTGCACAGAGGAAATGCTTGGGGGGCAACTTGCATCCGCATCATTTCTGCAGCATTTCCTCAGCCTGGCTGGTCAAAGCCGGGGCTCCTTAACCTGGGCCGAAGATGCCCAAAGAGTACGTACATGAACTCGCATGGGGAAAACATTCGTCTTTATCGTCACTAACCTCAAACTGGACTGTAGCATTCCCTGCAATGATGAACACAGTAACATTAGCAGTATCTGTCTTTTGTTACCAGTGGAAATCACACATATTTTCATGTTATTGTAGAATCCTGCAGATGTTTCAAAATATGGACTACCCTAGTTTTTTATACGTGCAATTATAGCACGTATTAGTTGCACCCAAAGATCATGATATTTAACACACAAGAGCACATATATTCCTAGATCACAAACAGGC